GGGGTGGGAGTAGGCAAGTTTCCTTTAGGGTATACAAACTATAACTCTAAAGAACTGGATATTGGTTATTCAGCCAAATTATCTCAGCAGAGAGACCAGCCTGCACCACACATCCACAGGGAACAGTCCTGTTTTGTTTCATTTTTAACCCTGTTATTCAGTTTCCACACTGAAACAATTTTGATAACTTTTAATTTTCCAATAACAAAAACCATAGCCTCATGCAGAAATATGGAAACTTAGAACTGTGAAATGAAAGCAAAAAAAAAAAAAAACAACAACAACACCACAGTGTCACTGCCAAAATACAATACGACTGATGGCATCCCATAGTTAATATGAGTAATGACACACCATGTATAACATGGTGTTTTCTCTTAGACCCAGTGTTTCTGAGAAAAGATATCCTAAATGATCTGTCCACTCCCTGTCATGAATACTTTTCATTTGCCAACCAACCTGGGTCACACACAACAGGCATTTATTCTGAGTTAGTCTTGCTTCGCTTTATTTTCATTTAAGGTGTTGGTTGATAACTCTTAATAATGCTCAGGCTCTTTGTATTTCAATGGAAGATTATTTAAAGTGTCAAACTTCATAATTATAAAAAAAGACACAGCCTATAATGGAACAAGGGCACTCAACACTCAGTGTTTTCTCACAGTACGTTATGGCAGATTGGCCATTTTAGGAAAATAAAACAAAACAAAACAACAGCCCAGGTAGAAATAAGGTCAAAAAACTTGATGAAACTCGAATGACAGTCTTTGGCCCAACTTATACAAACTATCCAAACCATCCCTGGAGTAACATTACCTACCTGGGGAGCAAGTTTAATTCCTTGGGGTTTTAAACTGACAGGATTCATTGGCGTGAGCTCCATCCCAGGTAAAAGATCATAGAGTTTGTCTTCTCTCTTGTCTCCTTTGACCTGGTATCCACGGCCCAGGCCTGTGTAAGCCAAATAGCCACGGCCTCCCAGTCCTCTCACTCCCGCAGCCCCTACAGGTACATTCATGTAAATTTCTAGGAATGTAAGAAGGCATTAAACTGAATCAAACCACCAGAAAATCACCCTGAATCTTACTGTAATGGAAAAGTTAGCCCAAGTCACATTGATTATAGCCCTAAAGACGTGTAGAGAATCCTAGGATTCTAATGTAATGAAGCTCAACATAAGATTGAGTTCACCATAGGTGTCTTTTTTTTTTTTAACTGTCTGTGGAAGAAAGCAATACTTTCTAAGATATGGATAAGTACACATGCAACTTTAAAACTTTGTTACAGAGAAGAATATTGCAATTTCTGCCTTCAGTAAACCTTCTGTTGACATTTTTCTGTATACTAAATAAATATTGGGAAGGTGTTTATTAAAACATCCCAGCACAATGTGACCACATGTATTAAACTAAGTCTTGCACTTTTGTCATTGATCAGTAAATCAGAAGTGAGTTCTAGGTTCCCTAGAATTCCATCCCTGATGACCTGTTGGGAAACCAACATTTAGAAAATGTGTTTTAAGTTCACCATTTTCTCTCTTATATTCTATCAATGTGAGGCTTAAATTTCCATTGAGTTTCATTAGTAGATTCCTTTTGATTTTTTTTGTTTTGCCACATTGCTACTTTGAGTTCCTTTTGGTAGCATAAAGAGAGAAAAAATTAAATTGATTACCCTTAATCCATGAATATCATTCATTGATTCCTTACTTTTATAAGATAGGTATGTTTTCCCTTGGAGTGAAGTTTGGTTTTTTTCCTACATTACAACTGGTTGACAACTTATATTTAATGTACAGATTATTTAATGATATGATTGTAGGTTATAAATGCACAGTGTATTAATGACATAATTTGTCATCAAATCTATAGACAGATTATCCTGAAAAAAATCCTGATGATTTCTTTTACACTACAATTTTGGGTAGAGTGACTATGAGTATGAAACTTTTAAGGCTGTTGAAGACTAGACCTCCTAGGATGGTTAATTCACTTCTCCTGAAAAATAGTAAAACACAGTAAGACAATTTGGTTTCCACAGTAATCTGGACATGCCCCTTTGCTTCTAGCCAAGCCCAAGGATAGATTTAAATACACAGTTTGTTGCTGAATTACCCAGATTGGTGTCACATTTGGAAGATAGAACTGAGATTCTGTTGGCATTGGTGATATCACAGCAGAACCACTCTGAAGGATCCCAATAGGCAGAGACAAACTCATTTCTTGAAAATAAAAAAACGCTTTCCTTATCTTTTATATTTTTGGAACTACCTGAGCTTAGAAAACTGCTTGAATGTTTGGAATTCTTATAGAATTCAATAGGAAAGATTTATTGTTTGACAGTCAGATTAAGGGCTTTTTTTGGTTTGTTTTTATTTTTTCTACTTGGACTTTAATTTTTAGCTTCCTGTATCCTGGAAAAACAAGTTGATTTCCTTAGTAGTGTGGCTTTTTAGAAGGCATAGCACATATTTCTTGGGGGAGGTCAGATGAGAGCATCTCATATATCTGTTAGACTGTATCTATGAAAATTTGTGATTTTTATATAGATGTGATGGCACTGAGTCACCATCAAATGCACATGTGCCTTGACATGTTTTTGCTATTTGAGGTCATTGGTTTCTGTTGAACCAGACTGCTCTTAGTTTGATGTTTTGTAAAGAGTCACATATGATTGTAACATGATGGTACAATGATAAGGGAGAAGTTAACAATTGTTGACCCAGGTTTTAGTTTGTTCAGATTTTATGAGCCCATGCAAATATCAGATGTGTGCATTAGACCCATTTACACTATGTTCTGACCAAGTCTTTTCAATAACCAGTTGTAATGTGAAAAAAGATCCCTATGGAAGGAAAACTCTTGATACAATATTTGATTTTCAATAAACAATTTTCCAGTTCTTTTCTCCCAGGGGACCCATCCAATTCATCTAAGGCCATTGCAATACAAATCATTTGGAATTGCAGAGTTTTCTAAGGCAAAAGCTGATTAATGTTACCTCTAACAGAAGGGGCTCGGATAATGGCCCTGTTGCCAAGATGTCCTTTGGTGGCTGGGAAATGAAGGCTGGGGATCGCTGTGTAGGCCTGGGGGGCGTAGAAGACAGGAGCTCCAAGGTAGGTTGTGGTGGGATCATAAACGTGGCCCAAAGAGTAGGTGTACTCCCCTTGCAGCATGGTGCCCCTTCCGCCTGTTCCTCGGGTGTACCTAACATAACTGTCCTTGTCCACTGGTTTGGCTAGGGTTACTTCAATGGGGGAACCATCCAGCACCTGGTGGGGAGAGCAAGGAACAAGCAGCATGAGAAGATATGAAGACAGCCAAGTGTGGCTGAGCCCTGGGAACATGTCTTCTTGTATATGTTAGCTTATTTGTTGCTATGTTTACCGACTGTTTCACTTCCATATATCTCACCTTTTCATAGGGTCCTGTTTTGTGTGTCAGCTGAGTTTTCCCTGAGTAGTTTGTTGGTACATTGCACATAATCTGTCAGCAGGTTTGACAGTGAAACACTGGCCACTGTCCAGTGACAGTGTTATACATTTTTAAGGGAATACAGACACCGAGACAGAGAATTATGTAATATTTTTATGTGAGATACATTTTAAATTATGTATTTATATAATTATATAATGATAAAAAATTTTAGGTTAATTATGGGTGGAATATAATCTCCAATAACTTCAATGCAATGAAGACGAAAAGAAACCAATAAAGAGGTCTTATCAATTGTTAACACCTTGGGATGGGCAGCCTAGTCAGGCCTTTCCAGCTACCAGCCCAGCTAAATGTCTTACCCTGTAGAGCAGCTACACAATAGGTAAGATTTTAGTGGGAAAGAAGAGAGCCTTAAAAGTGAAGCCCTACTTAAGGACAAGGAATCATTGAGGCTCCTACATGGTGCCCTAGAGGTACTTTCTTATGAAGCAACCTTTCAATCTGCTAAACACTTGGGAACTAACAAACAGGGATGGCTGAGCAGTACCAAAGTTTCTAAAGTCAGGCCCTACTTAAAACTTGTCCTCAAGAATTGCTGAAGTGGTCCTTATCTTATGCAAGTTTTTGACATTTTGCACACAGATCCAGATGTTGAAGATAACAGCTTTGTGTAGATCTACAAGTGCGACTCTCATGTATTGCTTGCACCCTCAAGAGACAAAGATGGCTCTCGTCAAATACTTGATAGATTGATGTATTTCTTATCAAAGGGACAAAGTGTTTTGAGGAAGCATTTGTGGCTTCTTTTAAATAAGAGTATTATGTTTTTATAAAGAAAACAAACGATGTAAAGTGTTCCTGCAAAAATTCCCTTTCACAGCAGCTCATGATTTCAGTGAGTGTTTCAGTGGTTCCTGGACCATTGAAGTCTGCTGGATGAAGTTTGTGCTTTCTGTGCATCCTGATCATTTTAGTCAGCCTCTTGTTCCTCGTTTCATGTATCTTCCCTACTTTTTAGTAGCAGGAGCCACTATCAAATTTGTTAGATGAGGCAAACAGAGATATAAGTCAGCTGATACTCAACTATCTTATACCGATGTTGTTTTAATTAGAAGAAACAGATTTAGAGTGGTGAAGGAATGGGGGTGATCTTGGATGTAAGATTCTTTAAAAAAGTTTTTTTATAGAAGTATAGTCAGTTACCATGTGTCAATTTCTGGTGTATAGAATAATGTTTCAGTTATACACATACATACATAAATTCCTTTTCATATTCTTTTTAATTAAAAAGGTTAGGATGTAAGACTCTTTATCTTCAGTCTTGTCTTAAGGAAGATGGGAGACCCATATAAGTCTCCGCCTATAGGCACTTCCATGTCAAGAGAAGTTTTTAATGAAATGATTCTTCATTGCAAAGTCAGATTTCTTACTGTAATAGATTTTGTTCTGCATTCTTCTGCCCCTCTAACAGTGTTTTAAACTTAGTCCTGTATTTTACTTATTTGATTTAGACATTTCAAGATTTAGGACAATATCTTACTAATCTGTATAGCCCCAAGCACAGCAAAATTTCTTGCACATTCACAAGTCTTTATAGAATAAATGAACAATCAACATGCAAAGCTCAATTCATCACCTGTTTCTCCAAAAAGGCTTCCCTTCTGACTTCCCTGACAGCATTATCCTGGTCTCTTATATTGAAAACCTATAATGACTCATCCTTCTTTCTCACTGCTATAGCCAGTCAGTTCCTGGGTCCTTTGAATTCATCCCCTGTAATCCTGTATAGAGCTCTCTCTGGCATTCCACTTCTGCCCTGTTCAAGTCCTTATTTCTTCCCGTTTGAGTGACAATAATAGTTTTTTAACTGCTTCCAATTACATCTCTCTCCCTACTCTATGGAACTTCAATTCTTAATGGCTAATTTCCCTAATTTGTTAATGTGATCATTACTCCACTGCACAAAAATACTTCTAAGCCTCCCCTTGTCTAATAAATTAAATATAAATACCCATACGTATACTCAAAAGCCTTCATAGTTCCTAGGTAAATTTACTTTTGATTTTCTCATACCACATGATAGGTAAATATACTTACAAAATTTAGTACATATATTTAATAATAATATTGAATATATATTTAGATGCATAATACATGTAAACATTGCTCTAAAAATATCTAGCTGTAAATATATCTGGCTGTCAAAATTGGGAACAATTTGAATACCTTTCCATTGTGATTATTCCAGTGTAATTATATTAGCATTTAATAATCAGTGTCTCTTGTCAGCAAGCATCATGTATCCTCAGGAATGTTTTCAAACTGAGAAACCAATCTACAAACTGTTTTCAAAATAACATTTTTATGACACTTAATGTAATAATCAATAAAGAAGAAATAATGTTTTGCTTCATAGACATGTATTTAAATATGCATTAATTTTTGCTTTGGAGTTTTCTTTTTTGTATTTTGTGTGTTGGAGTATCCCCCCGCCACCCCAGGACCCAAACACTTCTGTAGGTCCTGGAATAGCTCATAAGCCCAAGCCTCACTGTGTC